AGCGACGCGACAATGAAGCACAATCTTTATTGGCGCAATCACAAGCTATATATCACCACTCATGCAGGCATACATTAATGAGTCACGTTGTCTTCCCAGGACACATTATCTCTCCTGGTTGCCGTTCGTAACACGTTCATGCACTTTGGCGCCTCGTGATGAAGTATTCCCTATCCATTTCACCGCCGTATCTTCGCTCCTACGAACTCTATTCTGACCGGTCCGGAGTCATTCAATCGCTCCTGATTTGCTTGAACCTGGATAAATCGCTCTGCTTGGGGTTAGTCCGGGAGGCTGCAATAACGGTGGTTTTGTCTTGTTTATTGAGTACTCGATGAATACCCTCCCCGTTCTTCCTGGCTCAGGCTTATTACAGGACACCGCTAGTGCCCTGTTCTCGCCTTGTTCCGTCAGGCCAGTGTTTCTCCGGCTGCTCCCCTTCATTTTGCTTGTTCCCTTTTCCGTCCGCCTACGTCTTAGTGGTCTTACTTTTATCCGGGTGATCACTGCCTTCCTCCTCCATACATTATGTCGCTTCAGTATCCGCTCCTGACGAAGCGATATCGCAGAATTATACAGATGGCGTAGTCTAGGGTATCCAGCATGCGACCTCAGCTTTATCAATCTAGTTACAATCCTATCTGGATGACCTTGCATTATGGGCCAGAGCTCAACTTTTGTCGCTACATGTAGTAAAATGCAGTGACGTACTATTTCCTTTCACAATGACCGTCGTTGTCAGTAACTGCGAATGGATCCCCCTGAAGTTCACATAGACGGTGATCTGTTGCACTCCACCGAGTCTGTGAAGTATCTAGAAGTTAGACTTAGCCATGATCTATAATGGTCACTCCATGTGAATGAAGATTTTACAAAAGTGAGTAGGCTTTCCTTTTACGCTCCTCGTTTGTGCTCCTTCTCTGACCTCCCTATCTAATACTGCGATTTATCACCGTCTGTGTCTTACCTCACTGGATCGATTGCTCCTCGGTGACACTTCCCGGTTTCCTAAGGAAACATTCAAGATTTTACATAGGTATTGACACAACTTTCTTGAGGTAGTGGTATTCCAAAGTGGACCTTTGTTGACATAATTTGGTTGACTCATTCCAGTTCATGCAAAAGGTCTGCTTCAAAAATACTCGCCGTTGAAGGTCATCACATTTATGGTGCACTGTCTGACTGTATAGCAACTTCCTCAACTAAACAACAATACAGATCAATTTATTCACGTACAAAGAGCAACCATTTGTCCGTCAACCCGTATTTGGCGCGCTTTTTGTACAACCAGACCTAAGTCGCTATGGATTTTACAATCCAATCTACATGGTACCAATGTTGCTGTTTTTGCTAATTATCACCTTTTCGTGTATTCTTTTTACAGCTGAATATCTACCCCCGGGTGCCTAAAGCCTTTTTGAATACAAATTGAGCTAGTTGCTCCACAACCTACTAAGGAATAGAAAAATGGGGGAACAGCAAGGTCACAAAAAAACTACGTAACTTGTACCAAATTAGGTGGAAATTCGGGCGTACCTTAGACTGCTCATTGTTGATGCGGCAATCGGTTATCAGAGAAGAGATCAGGCTCCACAGTGCCTGTCAAGCTTTACTTGCGAAGCGAAAAACTCTATTAGCCTGTAATAAACTCGAGAGCGTTTCTAGACTATGTCATGCATGCAAATCCAATAAAAAGGAATGTCACTCAGTTTGTAATATCGCCCGAAAAAATTACGTTGATAAACCTGTCGATGTATGTGAAGCCTCCAGTTCATAATTTGCGAAATAATTAGCTACGGAAATATCGACCGAGCAGTTGTACTTTTCGTCACTCACGAGTGCTCGTCTTTACGGTGTAGACTTCGACACGAGAACGATTTGCTCTGATCTCGCATCTGAAACACACCTGCTTTCAGGGTACAGATAGGTCACCGCCGGTGCTGGTAAATACGGAGGCACAGATATCGCCATACCGCTGCTCGATATGTGTACAATCTCTTAAATCAAAACATTGACCTAGGCAGAGGAAGACCATGATAAAAAGGCCGCAGCACGAAAGTGGGACCTTATACAATATTAAATCTATCTCCATATAAGTCACACGCCCACTGTCTTTAGGATAATAGATAGAATAGTGAAAGAACGGATCGCTATGTAACGCTTGCCGAGAAACCTACTCGGTAGATCGAAGCATGGTTTTAAAAAGTCATGAGCATGTGACCCGGCAAACCGATTTCTTAAACAATATGACTCTAAGAAAGCAATTATTCTGGTTTTCCTAGATTTGAGTAAAGCTTTTGACCGGGTGTCGCATACAAAGTATTGACCAAAATATCATCTGTTGGAATCAGAAACCTTTTGTTAGCATGGTTGCAATTACAAGTATCCGAACGAAAACAATTAGTAAACATCGGTACTAACTTCCTAAAACCCACGGTAGTTGCCAGTGGGGTATTCCAAGCGAGCGTACTGTGCCCATCCTATTTCTTATCGATACCAATGACATATATGAAGAAAATCAAACGTGGAACTGCATTTTACTATGCTGATGACAAGCAAATCATCTTCAGCAGAAACTTCAACGTATGCAGAAGGAACTTTCGTTCCTAGATACCTGGTGCCATCTGTTAGAAATGTAATTGGTTTAAATTAACCGCAACCTCCATTCTTATTGATGGATGCCATATTCCATCTGAAGAACTGACTCCATGATGAATAGCTCACGCAGTGCACCTCAATTCTGGACCTTGCCTTGCGATATTCAGTAACGTTAGGCTTGACAATTCAACTATCAGATATCAAAGCATAAAAGAAAAAGCGGCTTCGTCTGCGGATCGTTCGCGCTCCGTGAAGATGGACTTCGGAGATATGAATAATATGTGATACCTACATTGGTATACTGCGCATTTATTTGTACTAATATGCGGATGTGTCATAAAATAGCTCTGAGAGGGTACGGAGCCGCTTCACAAAGCACACAATGAGGTTCTTCACTACTATAGCCTACCAACAACTTGACCTTGAAGTTATGTAGCTGTGGAGACTGATAAGTAACCTCTGTTCATCATCATCATCATCATTATACATGTCAGCTAGAGATGGTAAAACACCTCCGCTATTGTACCGCAATCCATAAAGGAAATACATACATACATACAATACATAAAGGACAAATAAATACGACAGTTGAATGCCAGCTGAGCTACCAGCAACGGATAGGCATCGTTCCGGTAAGCTACCAGCCGGCTACTAGGCAAAAAGAAAAATTATTATGTTTTACGCTATGAGATAAGATCGTAGGTGGAGGGGGAGGCTAAAGGGATGGGGAGGGACAAAGAAACTCACAGCACGAACGCCACTGAGGTCGGCTCCTTGCCATATCAGCAAGTGTATCCAGCCAAACGTGTTCACCGTCTTTTGGACCCCAACCAGGGAGCCGTGAAGCTCCAACTGAGGCCAGCTCCGAAGTGAGGGCCTTCATTCCTCTGGACCAAGTCATCGCTTGGCCACCTCTCCTCTTCTTCCACCCACATCCCCGGTGAGCAAACAACGCACGTCGAGGGAGTCGATGAGCTGGCATGCGCAACACGTGGCCCAGCCATCGGAGCCTGGTGAGTGAAATGACGGTGCTGAGCGGTTCATTCCCTTTTCCTAGGCCGTAAACAAGGCGTCGAACACGCTCGTTACTCACGCGGTGTTCCCACCAGATGTGAGTCAAACTGCGAAGGCACCGATGGTCGAACGTAAGTAGCCTCTTCATGTCCGCCGATCTTTGGGGCCAGGTTTCGCAACCGTACAGTAAGGTCGAACGTACCGCTGCATTGTACACTCTACCCTTCAGGGCGAGAGTAATGTCGCGCCGTCGCCATAGCTGGCGAAGGTTAGCAAAAGCACTTCAAGCTTTCGCTATGCGGTTCGTGATCTCGTCCTCGATCCCAAGGGCGCATGTAACCTCTGTTAGCTAGATCGAATCACCAGCTGCTCTGTGCGTGTTGATTTGAATGACGTACGCATAGATATCAGTAAACTGTACCAATTCAGAAAACTGCAATGCTGCTTCTTGTGCCGAGGTGCCACACGGGAACAAGGAAAATAGTTTTCCTGCTAGTGCATTCCAAGATATGGAAGAAACTGCAGAAAACATTCGGTATACCACATCTCTGAAAAAGCAGAAGCGAGAATTACAAGAGTACCTTATGCTGAATATAGTTAAAAATCTATGCTGAGCACAGCGGGAGAATCAATAAAGCGTTTGAAAGCAGCATATGTCCCAGTGATCGGAATTCCAAGGGCCTAAATAAAACTCAACCTAGGTCACAATTGAGATTGCGTGTCGCAATCCAAGGCACACGCAGGGTACTGCAAAAACCCAACGTTCAAAACTGATAGTGGTTCTCGGTCTGAAAATTGTGAATTATTCATAAAACTGTTTGGAAGAAACGAGTAAAACGTAAGGCTGAATTCTGCAAAAATAAGTTTGTTTTCGCTGACATTGTGTGCTCGTGCATATTTTAGTATAGTCAAGTCCATTGGCCTCCAATTGCCGAATGGGAAACATGACTCGATGATAATGAAAGAAATGAAAACAAGATAAACATCAACATTTGGCGACCAGTTGTGATGCAGGTATGCTTGTACACATCAACTATATCAAATGACTTAGGACAGCCCGGAAGGAATGCGTCTCTGAACCAAAGAGTTTGCGTTTCCCAGTTCATCCTTCAACCAAATAAAAAGTTACGCAACCATAGGGAGCAAGGAAAAGGCGGTTTCTTATCATATTCTCAAATGTGTAGTGGCGTGTAGTGACGCCGCATAATACAGCACCAGATGGCTAATTTAAACACGTACTTTACATGTAGGCCAATTCGGAAGTTTCAAGTGAGCTCTCCAAAATAAACATTTTTAACGATGAGAATTTGATCGAAAAACTACTGTACTCAGGCTCCGATGCCACCTTGATTCGTGTAGGGTTCTTGAGGCAACTGAATCAGACTCACTCGAAGTAATTCGACCAGACTTTCTACTCCGCGGCTTGAAATTCGACAACCAGCTAAATTAATTGTTGAGAGCTTCGGTGTTCGGCGTATGGCACAGCAAACATCTAAAACAAGGAATATGGGGATTACATGATGTGTACTGCATACGTATGGGACAACCTCATCAGATGACTGCAGTACATGCATGCCAGCCAATCAGGCGTGTGATAGCACATGTTTAACACCTTAACTTTTCGCTCGTTCTCTTGTCACCATTTCGACGCACACCGTTACTTTTACTCTCATGCAATTTGGATTCACGAGCTCTATCCAACGGATTCAGATTCACAGCTTCAACATTATTACATCGGCAAGTGGCCGAGTGGCCAGCACGCCTGTCTTGTAGTTATAACGTCACGGGTTCGAATTCGGGTAGGGGCTGGTGTCCTCGCGGTATACTCAGTCTACGCGCGACTGGTGGTGGTCGTGTGACAGCGAAGCGCCGTTACGGTGTACAGATGACACCTTATTACTTTTGTACACTCTTACCTCACAGTTTACAACGATGCAGTATTTCTAGCAATAACTCGGCTAAAATTCAATAAGCCCCACGGACTGAGAAGCCGCACGAGTAAACCATTTGAACCATTTAATAATGCACTCACTAATTTCAAGTCTATCCAAGGGGAGCTAGGTGGACGGGAAATAAAAATGGCATCTTATGATTACTTGGATAGAACACTCAAAATACTCGAGCCTCTGACAGTTCTTATGCAGAGGAGGGTAATCCCAAATAGAGATAAGTTAAAACCCGCCGGTGTCGGTATTGATGGTGCTATAGCAGGCGTGTTTAATAGGATACGATGTTCCTAAAATGCGGTAGTATTCAATTTGTCCGATAAACTACAAAGCGAAACACTGCTAAAATCCGGTTAAAAGCAGGGAATATGGAAGACTCTGTTCAAATATACAAGGTTACAGAAGCACGTTCATCGCGAAAATTGCCCACTACTCTTACAATTTAGCGACGCACTGATAACGAACGAGTTTATCAAAAAGAGCGTACAGGTAGCAAAAAGCACTACCTGCAAAACTCTAAGGATATCAATGGACAAATCGTCTGTACAGGCATCCGCTTGTACCGCATTGTCGCGAAGCTGGTAAAATGCAGATACTAGTCAGACTGCGTGGCCTTTGCGTAGACAGACCCATATTCCTATCCTTTTCTCTCTGCAGTTGATGAGAGTATCCAAATAGGGAAGTCCTTTCCGTGGTTCTCTTTCGAAAGAAAAGCCCAATTTGACATGCGACGCATCTAAATGCGTTACCAGCCGTATGATGTATGTCTCAGATGAACAGAAAGCCAAGATATAAGCCACGTATCATCCAAATCCCACGGAGTACGGTTAAATACCTCAAAGTGCAAGGGCATCCTTTGTTCGCTATTCAAAAGAAATTGCTACCTCCAAGTCTTAACGCAGTGCGCTAATTTTCCATCTTCGGTAAAGGTTTCTACTTCTTCAACGTCAGTAAAATATCTGACAGTGACAGTGGCTTTTTGACATATGTGGTCACTCAGCGTGAACGAAACAGTAACTGAAGTTAGGATACTCTCATTCCATGTTAAACGTCTCTCAGTTCGGTCATCCTGAGGGACCCGTCAAGCATTCAAACCAAGTCAAGTCAAGAATGTGCTTTTATGCACGCACGATAAAAAACAAGTTAAAAGAAACAAAAACAACAAAAAGGCTCTTTAAAAAACATAACTTCAATGACAGAATTTCTTGGACAGTTTCTGAATACGAACGTTTTGGTGAAAAAGAAAGCTGGCTAAATAGAGAGTAACCGACGAATCATAAGCTTTCGTGTGAGCATATATGGCTCTATAATTTTGTCTGGTCAACGAGGTGGATATGCAGTTGGAAAGTGCAGTGTGAAGAGGGTGGCTAATGTCAGCGAGTATTTTTGCAGCGTTTGGTGCATGAATGTACCTGAGTCGATACAACTGTTTTTACCAAAGGTAGTTTTGGAATACCACTGCAGCCAGACAGCCGCTTCAGTGGTCTGGCAAGTAGCTTGAAATGCTTACACAGTGGACCTGGAAAAGTTACGGGAGAGCAACAAGTCCAGGTGTGGTAGAATGCACGAACAGAGTCACAGTGTATGGTACACGCGATGATCGCAATCAAGCGATGTAAAAACGAAAGTCGCCTAATTTTGGTGAATATTTGATTCACATGGAGTGACTACGACTAATCGTGGCTCAGTGTAACTCCATGACACTTGACTGAGGTGCAGTAGTTTAAAGTGTCACTTTCAATCGGAAGTTTGGGATAATCCGTGAGAAGTTCTTGCAAACGAGATGCTTTATCAAGTGAAAACAGTATGCTATTGCACTTGGACGCGTTGACGGTCAAGTAGCAAGAGTATAAACATTACATGTATTTGTCTAAACAACTTTTCAGCTTGACTGAAGAGGCCGAGGTTTAATGATTCACGTCAATGATAACCTTATCTGCATACTTTAACAGACAGAGACAGGTACGGAGCTAAAGTAAACAGTGAACAAGAATGGTGACAAAATAGCTCCTTGAAGGACACCGGATGTTGTGGGAAGTGGTGAGGAGCTTTTGCCAGTAAACGTGGTGACCTGAGTACGTTTGGCGAAATAATTTTTGAACAATAATGCTAGGGTAGGTTGAACACCTGAAGTCTGTAGACCTTGCTACAGAAATTTGTGGTCAACACAGCCGAAAGCGTTGTTGTAGCCGAGGAAACATACACGTGTAGTTTTGATTTTACTGCTTAGCGATAACAAGACTGAATGCAGTAGACAAGCCACCGTAATTTGTGTGCATCTTGAAGTTCTATAGGCAAATTGACATGTGTCATCCCAACGGGATTGGGCCAGCAGTTGTACAAGAAACATTTCCTCAAAAATCATCAAAGCTACCGTGGTGGATGCAATAAGCCGATATTTACCAAGCCCTCTCTTCGATGCTGGTAATCTTCCAATCATTAGCAATGTTTCCTTGTTTAAAGCACATTTAGTACAGCTCGACCAGAGCCATCTCAGGGCAGGAACTTCTTAACAATATTGTATCCAGTCAGGGCAAAGCCTGTAACAAGCTTACGTCTAAAATACCGATGTTGGCAATCCTCTCCACAGTGCATTTTCAAATGTGTATCAAGCTCCACAACCAGAGAGAGCTACACAACTATACACGCCCGTACACGGTGTGTAGTTGTCATGCCTTTGATCGAGAAAAGTGTAGTCACTCAAAATATACTCAGCACTGAGTTGTCCGGAAATCAAATCAAATTCTTAGCAAATATTTTAAATCAACATTTATTTCAAATAAGCTGTCATATTTAATCACTGTAACGCACGTTTAGCTGCGTATTCATCCGCCAAATGCGTAATAAAGCAGTTTTTGACTTAATTTGAGTTGACTTGTTATTGCTCACGTAGTGCCAGCTATTATTGCCTCTCTGTTAGAACAAGCTGGACTGACTATCAAGGAATTCATCATCATCATCATTATACACATCAGCTAGAGGTGGGAAAAACACCTCCGCTATTGTGCCGCAATACATGAAGGAAATACATACATACATACAATACAATACACAAAGGAGAAGTAGATACAACAGTTGCATGCCAGCTGAGCTACCAGCAACGGATAGGCATCGTTCCGGTAAGCTTCCAGCTGGCTACTAGGCAAAAAGAAGAAAAAAATATTATGTTTTACCCTAGGAAATGAGATCGTAGATGGATGGGGAGGCTAAAAGGGATGGGGAGGGACAAAGAAACTCACAGCATGAACGCCACTGAGGTCGGCTCCTTGCCATGTCAGCAAGTGTATCCAGCCAAACGTGTTCACCGTCATTTGGACCCCAACCAGGGAGCCGTGAAGCTCCAACCGAGGCTAGCTCCGAGGTGAGGGACTTCATTCCCCTGGACCAAGTCATCGCTTGGCCACCTCTCCTCTTCTTCTTGATAGTATTATATCAAGGAATTCGGTAACGTACGTTTCAACGTGTCTGCGGTCATAGAACTTTTTGCCCTTGATTTGATTGTGTAGTCAACGGAAATGATGGAACACAGTAGGAGCGAGGTCCAGGCTATAAGCTGTTTGCATAAGAGCTTCGACACCGAACTGCCGAAGCTTGAGAAGAGTCACCTTTGCCAAGTGAGGACCTGCGTTTTCATGCGGGAGAAGAATTCGAGATGGACTGGGAAGGATTTGCGTGCTGGTTGACCATCTGCAGAGGCATAATTGAATGCAGAGCGGCAAAATCTTTATGTGTAACTTGGTTGGCGGCAGGAGAACCGCAAGTGTTTTTGTAACTGTGCACAAGAACGAAAGTTTGCGTTTTTCAGAAAGCGTATGTGAGTTTACAAAGAGTAAACATATTTGGCGTTGGAACAACCCATGCTGAACATCGTGTATGGGTTGTGAAACGTTTGTTCCAGTCGCCCCTTCCCACAAGTCCACAGTACTCGGGCCTCCGCCTTCCAATTTAACCAGATATGTATTCAACTGTAGGACAGTTGATACTATGTGGTTTCCTTCTCATGTTCGCCCCGTATTGTATTCATTGTGTCAATACACCTTGTGTTTTGACATTCGTTTATATATTCTCAAGACAGAATCAAGCAGGCGTTCAGTCTAAATCTGACAGTCATAACGTCATCTTTCGCAGTTGTTGTATGTAATCTCAACAGTCTATTAATTAGACATAGAGCCAGCAAAAAACCATGAAGATCAGCAGATAAGTAAGATTCGTCGTGTTTTTTAACCATCGTGGCATGCTAGTTGAAGGTGAGCAACACACTTCAACTAATATGCCGCAAGGAAGAATGGAACATTTTGATAAAAAGTAGAACAAAACATTTTAGTTTGTTTTTCACACTCCGCTTTTGCTCTTTTTTTCTCATTTTCATGTTTATAGTATTAATCATGTGAATCAATACAATACTGTACACAATTCTTCCATTGATTCCGGTTGCGGGCCATGTCCTCAAGAGTGCTAAGCCATTGGCGCTCATCATCTTTGGGTCCCCATCCTGGAAGACGTACTGATCCAACAGCGGCTAGACACGACGTCAGCGATTTCATGT